CCGAGGTTTTCATCAACCTGCACAGGCTTTATTTCTCACCTGGGCCATTTCCAGAAGGAGGAGCAGTGAATATTACATTCTGAGTTCACAAGAAGCAGAAAGCGTTCAGCCCTGAATGACTGAAATTACTGGACTTAGAGTCTCTCTAACCCAGTTATTCATTTCACATGAAAAACCTGATGTTTTCTGAAAAGATAGAATAGAAATAGGAACACCAGTGGGAGACATCCAATGTCCAACTTGATCACAACACTCTCCTCTTTCCTGTAGTATTTGACAGGAACAAGAAGACTGTGACTGGTCACAGTGCAGATACACTGTCCTTCTTGTGATTTACTGTGTTGACAAATCTGGGTTAGACGATAAATGCTGGCATGATATGATACAATATAATGATATCACTGATTACAAAATCAAGGTGAAACATCCATCTGAGGGATTCTGTTTTGTTTACCCTGTCCCTAATCAGTCCTTGAAGTTAATCCAGTTTCACTTCAGCAGTATGTCTTCCAAAACATCTCTAAAATAATCATAACGTGTTTTTCTAACATCAGATAATGACACAAAACATCCAAAAATGGTACTGAATGTTCTTCAAATTTATAACTGCAAATCACTGCTATCCTTTTGATAAGGTGACATCAGAGTATGCTTGCAAAGAATAAATAGCTGTTCTCACTGACTTTTTAGAAGACTATCTGTGGTTTTATTAGATCCATATTTGTTATGACAATGGCACCTGATCATCTTCTGATTGACCTGGGACAGATAATGACAACTCCTAGATGTTAAAACTGCTGTCCATATAGTATGTCACATAATGCCTCTGGAAAAGGAACAAAATCAATTGTACAAGAGAAAATATTTCATACTTGAAGATCAGTCAAGCGCCCAAACCAGCTGTTCTGCTCACTCACCTCTGCTGAAGAAAGCATCTTACTGGTTTTAAAACCTATGAAGAGCATTTGGAAGTGACTGGTACAGACCTCAGTATCCCTGAGGAATGTTGCTATGTAAATCAGGATATTGAGGGGCTCCAAACATAGGTTTTCTGATGGATTTTTCTGGCCTGTGGCAGCTACCATGGGCAGACTGTAAATGAGCTACTTCCTCCCCAGAATGTGTCAGACACCTCAAACTCTGCCTCAGGGCAGGTGAATTATCAGTAACCAGATCCCTGGTCTTCCACATACAACCTGATCTGGGGTTGCTGTTTCTGATACTCACCACAGTGAAGGGAATTGTTAGAGATTCCAAGCTAATCTAGTAACTAGGAGTTACAAGTAGGACACAGAGGGTTGTTTAGTGGGGGTTGTTAAGCATTTTCCTCCTGCAGTTTAAGTAAAAGGGGCTGAGCTTCCTTGTAAAATCAGGTTTGCCTTTGCCAACAGACACATGGGCATAGGGCTTTGTGAGAGCAACAGCTTCAAAGCACTAAGTGAATAAAAAGGATTTAGGATGGTTCCTAAAATACTGCCAGAAAGGTCTGATGGCTAGGCCAAGGCTATTCCTTGGGAGACCAAAGCTCATTACTTGCACCCCCTGTGCCCCATCTCACAGGAGAACTTTCTATTTCTGTGCTCAGCAGCATCAGTGGAGACCCAGAAATAGAGTTTGCTAATTCAGGGCAGTGTGGGGCTAGGGTAGAATGAATGAAGATTGAAGTCCTGTGGCTACAAGGGAAGTATTATCCATGAGCATTGTAGTTTGATCCTTTCAGCAGCAAGGCTTTTCTGCTCACTGTGTTGCTGGAGAAGGTCGATTCATAGTCATAATCAGAGAGGATGCCAGAGGTGATGTTGCATTCCACTGTGGGCAGCAGCAAAGAGTTATTTTAATAATGGATGGTCAGGAACTAAATTAATCCAAACGAGGCAAACATTGTGTCTGAGAACCATTTATTGATAACAAAAAGACAAAACAAAAAGGATTTACTCTACTAAAGAGGGCTAGGGAAGACAGATTAAGAGGAAGAAAAATGGGAGAGAGGGAGAGAGAGAGAGGAGACAAAGGGAAAAAGCGGATGTTATCTCCAGAGGTTGGGGAGTGCCCTCGATGTCCCAAGGTGGGGCTACACACACTGCCTGCCTGTGGATAGCTCCTGCAGCGGCAGGACACGAGGTGAGGGAGGATCCAACAGGAGGTCCAGAAGCCTGGACAGGGTTGTGGCAAAAATCACAGGTGGGCAGGCTGGGTTGCACAGATTAAGCAGGAAAGGCAGGACAGATGTGAGGGTGAGTAAGATCCAGCAAGGGCGGGAGAGCCAAAAGGTCAGCTGGGGCCAGGGAAAAAGTGTAAGCCTCAAGAAGTCCCCAAAAAGACAAAAGGCAAAGGATAGAACAGACCCCAAAGAGCCCCCGAGGCTTATGATGCATGTACTTTTTATGCCTCCAGGTCCTCCTGAAGTCTGCCTGCTGACAGGAGACCATTGGCCCAGTCCGATGTCTCAGTGCAGTCCATTGGGACAGACCTTTTTCCATCAATTCCAGTGTCTCTGCCTTTGGTGTTCCCTTGCTGACTGCCTGTCCCATGCGAGACATGAACTAGTGGCCAGGCAAAGTCTCCCCAGAGACAAGGCTTCCCCCCATCTTCTCCTGGCTGTCTCCTGGACATGGCACCTGTGCAACCCCTCCCGTGTGCCTCTGACAACCATTGCTGAGGCATAAAAAAACTGAATTGGCTTCTCACAGGTGAACAGGGACAGCAGCCCTTGTAGCTGTCACCAAGTGATGGGTTTGACCTTGCTGGTGCAAAGGCAAAAGACTGTCAGGAACAGAAATGAGCAGACTGGAAGATTAGGCCATGCTTTTAAGGAGATCCATGGAGGACAGCACAGAAATTCTCCTCAACAGTTCTCCTATTTTTCTCCTGCCAGGAAAGAGAGCATGTAGGATTAAACCTTAAAAAGAAAAGATCAGAAAAGGCTGAGTCAGTGAAGATATAATTTCAGAGCCATATATATTTTTTTTTTTCATTGCGGACATAGCCACTGAGTTTTGAGGCCTTTTCCTTCTTTACAGGGGAACGGTCACTGAGTCTAGACTCAGGGTCTTGGCCATCCCTGGTTGTAGATTGTAAGGACAGTCAGGTTTTCAATCAAGGAGATGCATGGGCACATGATCTAGCAATTCCTTTGTGATCAATGGCTATTAGTTCTACTGTCTCACAAAAGGAGGCAACAGCCTTTATCATGTCTCCAGCTAGAGATGTGAAAGACCAGTAAATCTGTCAGTCATTACTATATTTTTCCTCCACTTTCACTGTTGTCTCTTCAGGATTGGCAAAATCCAGCCTTAGAGCAGCCCTGGGCATTTCCAGGACTTTGAGCACTATATCCTCCATCCTTACTTTCCAATGAAGACTTCAGTGTACCTTGAGCAGGAGCACCCTACTCCTCCCCTCAAAATGCAGATGACACATCTCCAGCCTCTTCCTTGCCTACCACAGGCAAAACCATAAGATATCTTTCTTTATGGGTCCCTGGCTCCCCTCTGGTTCCCAGTCTCTTCTGGAGAGAACTGTTTTCTATTTAATAGCTTTTCTATACAGCACTTTCCTGACATCTCTTCTTGGGTTTACAGCATAAAAAAAACTGGGAGCTTCAATTCCTCTGCTAATCATTGGCTAGGATCTTGAGTCAGATATTATCCGGTTGTTTTCAAGTTTAATCAAGTGACGAATTTTCCTAGGATATGTGAAAAATCCTAGCTAAAGCCATTTTAAATTGACTATTTCAAGCCTTTGAAGTCTGGTGGTATCAAAATGCATACAGCTTAAGGAAGTTATTTACTGACTCATGGCAGTAATTAAACCAACAATATCACCACTACTGCGTTTCTGTTACATGACACATGTAACAACTTCCATGAAACCTGGTTTGCTCTGCTTCTGCCTGCTTGTTGGCTCTCCTCTCTATGAATAAGTGCAACAGAGACCTTTAAATTCATCTCACCCTTAGGACTGTTCTTCTAATCTAGATACATATTTCATTTTGTCATGAAAAGCCATACCTCTTGAAGCAATTGCAACCTTGTTTTCAGGAAGGCCTTAGAATCTCATTATTGTAGATTTTTGCTCCTGAAGCTTTTTGCTGCTGGAATAGTGGGATTTGGTATTAAGAAACACAGGCAGAACAAAACGTGCTTTGGAGCTTTGATTTAATTTTTTTTTCTTTTCCTTCAAGCTGCGGGAGGGAAGGCTGTGGGTTGCAGGAGGCTGCAGTCTGGGGCAGTGTGATGTGCTCTCCCACACTGCACCATTATGTCAGCCAACAGAAATGCTCCCTGGTATTTTGCCACTGAAGCCTTCAAATGTCAATACCCCTGTGGGTAATTCTGCTTTACACTCCAGCACATAACCCTCAGTCCTGGCATGAGGAAGATGTACAGCCACTTAGGAGATGTGGCTTCAAGCCTCAGTTCTGGATTTCAAGATACTGTTTTTTTTCCTGCACAGCAGATTTAAATTTAACATTCAAGGAGGCTGTAGTGTACCTTCATAGGAACTAGAAGTAGTGGTCTTGAGAGCTAAGAAGGGTAATGAGAAATATGCCTAACCACGTGGAGCAGTTGTGGGGCAAAGGTGGGGAATTGGTGACACTTTTTGAAGGGATCCAGAGGCACCATGATGACAGCATCTCCCTCCAACACCTCTGCTGGTATCATGGAAGACTGGGAATGCTGGTGTTCAGTGGGTTTTGTCAGCTCAGCTTCTCACTGTCCTGGCAGCAGGCACAAAGGTGCTCTTACTGTGAGGCCCTACACTCCTCTTCAGGGACAAAAACCAAACAGTTTTCACCTTCCATATGTCCTAAGCCTTCCCTCACAGGAGAGAAGGGAGCTGAACAGATACACAACTCAAATACTCCACTGCAACAGACCATAAAGAGAGTGTTCAGATTTCATGTAGTGCTTCCAAAGGCAGATCTCGGGGCATGGCCAAGGAATATTATGTGTTCTTGTATTTCCCCCCACTTAATCAAGTCCTCCTTTTGCTTGCAGCTCAGTATTTCGCTAGCATCATGGTCATCGTTGGTCTGTCTGTGGTGGTAACAGTGCTGGTTCTGCAGTTTCACCATCATGACCCCCAAGCAGGAAAGATGCCCAAATGGGTAAGCAGCTTTGGTGATAAATATCCAGGAGGTTACTACTGAAAGAAAATTAAATTATCTACAAACTACAGTAAACTTGTTATAGGTGAGAGGCAGAATTTATTTTCCATTGCTCTGAAGAGTTCGTTACAAACAGCATAGTTAATGCTTGTGTTTGCAATTGATGGAGAAGAACAAGGAAACTAAATGTGCTTTCCCAACCAGTTCCTCTGATTCTCCATTAAAAATAGTTTCTTCTATTTGGCCTTTGGCTTCAACCTTATGATGGAGTGGTTGAGTCATTACAAAGTTATCACATTTACCACCTACTTTGCAAACCTTTAATTTCTTATCCAGCAGACACCAGTACTGACAGAATGTGCTAAACAAATGCTGGTCTCCACTGGGCAATTTGTCTGCTGCCATCTGATCTCTTCCCAGTGTATTAACATGTGGACCCTCTTTTTTAATGCAGCAGCAGGCTTTGTCAGCTCACTAAGGTCTGGCACCAATGCCAGCTGGCTTTCAAATTGAATGTTTCCTTTAGATTTTCAAGTTAAAAGAAAATTATGTTCTTTCTCCCTCTCTCTTTTTTCTAATAGATTTTAGAATAGGCAAGGTATGTTTTTGTTAACAGAATGAAAAGGGAAAAAAGCAGAAGAAGATAGTCACAGTCATCTATCTAGCACCCTGTTTGTAGGAGTCCAGTTGTACAACATCCTCTGATATCTTGTTCAGCACATTTTTCATGCTACACAATTACCCTGACATTTCTCAATTATTTCCCAAAAGTGCTGTATGATTAAAAAACCTCTTACTTTCAAGGTACCAGATGATTCTGGATGAACCTGCTTGTAGGCAAAACCTGTGGGCACAAATCTGGAAAACATGCTTCAGATGTCTTCATGGACAGAATCTGCAGCAGTATAACAGAACCCATTTGATTGCTTTTTGAGGAGCCCAGACACAAAGGCTCATGTTAGTCCTCCTCACAGGCCCTTCAAGTCAGCTCTTGCTCTCTACCAGTCTCATGTTTTCTTGGCTGGAAACAAAGCGTGGCAAATTCTCATTCAGGAGAAAGCTTGTTCAGTGGCCTGACAGCTGAACTGGCATACATTACAAAACATGCCATCAGGAAGCAAAAACTGTGGAAAGCATTAGTGGGAAGTGCAGATGATATGCTGTGGAAGGTATAGACCAGACAAGCTGACAGGGCTGAGGGATCTCAGGAGGAAAAGAGCGAATGCCAAGTGTGTAGGGAAGAGGCTGACACCACAAAAGTAGGCACTTTACCCTACAAGCCATGGCCAAGGCTCAGTTGTTAGAATTCATGATCATCTCTATTCTTTTTGTTGTTGTTTTGGGGTTTTTGGGTTTTTTTTTTCAGTTTTGCCTGTCCACCTATGTCATGTGTTTCTTACAGAGACACCTTGAATGACCTTTGCTCACTAAAATGCTCTTGCTTGCAGTCTTCTTGAGATCAGATTTTTATTTGCTTCCTGCATTTTGTAGGAAGGTTTTTGCTCACTAAAAAAAAAAAAAAAAAATTTGAATTGAAGAAGTAATTTAAGAAAGAAGAAATTTTTTCTGCATTACATTTTTCTGCCTTTCCAGTATCAGCTGCTGCCCTTACCATTTACTTACTTCCCACAATGTTCTCTTCATGCCAGGCCTCAGTTTATTGCAAACTCTAGCCCTGATTAATTGGATATTGTTACAGGATTGTTCTCACCTCCTGCTTAAATGGATTTGCCTGCTGGAGTCAGTTGCAGCGGGAGGCATTGGACAATTGGGCATGTGTGGGAGCTTCTGCAGACCCAGAAGATTTGAATGGATGCATTTCCTAAACACAGCTGCTTTCTAAACCATTTACTGTAGAGCAGTTTATTTTCCCTGCCTGTCTCTCAAGGGATCTGTACTTGCACTTTGCAACAAAAGAGGGAGGAGAGGGCCTGTTAGTGTTTATCCTCTCTGTAGGTATTCACTTTCCTTATTCCACTGCTTAGAATTGTGCCTTCCTTTCTATTAATCTTTGATGACTTACAAACAAGCTTCTTCCAAGAGAGGAATTTAAATCCAAGGTGTTCAGTCAGGGCATTTGTTGGCCACTCAGTTGAGAAATGAAAGCTGTTGGCTGATGGACACTTTTGATAATGTCTGCTGAGCTAGCATGGAAAAAAAACACTAAAGAAGGCCCAGCTAAGGAGGTGTTTGGGAGTGGATAACATCAGGTATGGACTACAGCTCAACTGACCTTTCTCTGCTAACAGCCAAGACTTTGTGGGAAAAAGCAAGAGACTAATGACACTTTGTTGTGCCTAAGACAGGTTTGTTATGTTTCAGGATTTTCTTTTGATATACTTAAGACCTGGACATGCACAGTTCTGCTCAGGTGCAGATGTCACTTATCAAGAGAGCTTTAATTGGAGACTCTCTGCTCTGGATTAGGCCAGGCTGGTGGCTGTGATGGAAGCTAGCAGTACAGTTGTATTATAGCTAGGATAGACTCACAGAAGGGTTGTTGACCTCTGAAGACATCTGTACCTGTGTACTTCCTTCACAGAAATCCATATATGACAATGCAGGTGAGAGTACAGATTCATATTATCATACTCAGCTGTTATCCAAAAACCTGTATGGTGCAGCTGTCTCTTGAATTAATTGGTATGATAAAAACAGATTGATGTCTGAGTGTCTGTCTTTTCAAGGAAATAGGGCATTTGAAATCCAAGCTAATTAAAAGCTGTGTTACTGTCTTCTGGGTATTTATTTTTCTATGGGAAAAGGGTTTGACTGTAGTTATAAATGCAATTTCCCTAAGGAAAAAAAACTCTGTCTTGAAGGAAAAAGCATCATTGCTATGTATAAGTGCTTTTTCTCCTCACATCTCCTTTCAGAGTTAAGGCAGACATATTAACATTTTCTAATAAGGTAATTTGTCTAAGTGTTTTGTAATTTCACAGTCCTAGAGAATTAACTTCTCTCTCCCCTTTGCAACTGACACTGTTGACACATTGCTAGCAATTAAGACCTTTATTTTGTTCCATGTTGTCCCATTTTGTTTCCATGAGCAGTCTGAGCACGTTATAATTAAGTAAATTCAATTAAAGGCAGAATCAGTTTTTTAGGCTGCAACGCTATGGGTAACTATTTGTTTGTGGGAACTATGGGGAAAATAATGAAATATTTAAAGCAAAATAATATGAATAATGGAAAAGAACCTTTCAGGAACTTCATAGTTTAAATCTATCTGGCACCTAAGTACCACACAGCCACTTGCTCGCATCCTAGCTCCCTTCCCTTGTGGTGGTGAGAATAAGATAAAAACTCCAGCACTTTGTGGGTTGAGAGAAGAACAATTGTGTAATTTAAACAGAATACAATGTAATAATATGAATAATATTAATTATAGTAATGAGTAACAATAATAAAAAAAATAATAGCAGCAAGGATGAGAGTAATAAAATGCAAGAGAAACAAGTGATGCACAATGCAATTGCTCACCACCTGCTGACTGATGCACAGCCTGTTTTTGAGAAGCAATTGACAGCCTCCAACCAACTCCCCATGCTGTATATACTTTTGGAAGATCCCTTTGGCTAGTTCAGGTCAGCTGTCCTGGCCATGCTTCCTCATGGCATTGTGTGCACCTACTCACTGGCAGAGCACAAGAAACTGAAAAGTCCTTAATTCAGGGTAATTCCAACAACCAAAGCATCAGTATTTTATCAACATTATTCTCATACTGAATCTAAAACAGCACATTGTACCAGCTACTAGGAAAAAAATTAACTCTATTCCAGCCAAAACCATGACAATGATGAAGAACAAAAAATTTGCTAGTGGGAGAGAAGCAATGTGGCTCACAGAAAATGGTACAGGATTGTGACATTGCAGAATTAAAAAATTGTGTAACTGCTTTTCACTGGTCATTGGTTTTGGCTATTATTATTATTTATTATTATTATTATTCCTATCTGTGATTACTAAGGCTTCCTCCTTTCTGAAATGATGTTTGTCATTACAGCAGTAAGTCCAAGTGCTAGATGTAATTTCCCCATTCCTGTATCTGTACTGTGCAAACACAGGAGTCAACTTTTCCTGCATCTAAAACAGCTTTGGAGGCAAAGTGTGGTCCCAAGTCAAACACAACCAAAGTAACAGGAGCAGGATTACACAGGGAATCCTTGTGAGTAAAGGCTCAAAAGGAAAACCAGAGGCCACATCTGTTCCCTCCTTGATGTCAGATTATTTGGCTTGCAGCCAAATTTATTTGGTTTGCAGTCATCAAAGAGGCCTATCTGCATGGAGGGTCCCTCTCAAGCACATTGTGAATGCCATTTTTGTATGCATAACACCTGGAGGATCTTATCATTACACAGTTTTGCAAATTTAGTTTTCTGGTCTTCGCACAAGAACCTTACTGAATCACAGATTTTTCCTGCCTTTCACAGTTAACAATGCTACCAGTAGGAATTCTAGCTGGCTCAGGCACAGACTCAAACCAAACATCTGAAGGTCAGTTCACTGGAAAAAAAAATTCTGGAAGCACTCTCAGGAGTTAGCTCACTTAATGACCTTGACAAGAAACATATGAGGCACAATCTGCTGTGTGCACATTAGAGCATCTCATGATGCACCAGCACACAGGGAAATGACAGCAGTAAGCAGCAGCACTTAGATTCTGAGCTGCTAAATGTAATTGATTTACTCTTTTGAAAAAAAAAAAGCCTGCTGTATTACATGGTTGAACTCCTCATAAGGGTATAAAATAGCTGTCAAAAAAAACCCCACGAAAACCCAACCAAGGTATTTTATTTAGATGTAAACAATAGCAATGGGGAATGGGAAATGTTCTAGAATGTGTTGTAGAGGGATTTTTTTCAGCAAAATGTACACATTGGCCCCCCAAAATATTTAACTGTCTTTCCTTAAAATCTGGGAAATGTTTCAAAACTGTACAGCCAATTTTGTGCTATCTGCTCAATTGCAGAGATCTCAGAGTAAAAATGGGTCTCCAAG